AAATGGCATGAATTGAAAAATTTAAGTGGGACTGAACCTAAAAAAAAAGCCCAACAGTCCAAGTGTATTATACAAATAATAAAAATGGCCTACTAAAATGATTCTGATTTAATTTTTGTCTTGCATATCACATTCAGTTCTGTTTTCTTCATGTTTCATATTACTGTACAAGCATTGCACTTCTAATACTGTTTATTCCCTTTAGATGTTTTGGTTAAAGTTCATTTGAATACTGTGGTTTACCAGAAAACTCTAGACAAGCGTTGTTTGATATCCTGGGCTGCCAAATTCATTTAACACAGCTATGGCAGAAAATATGCTAAACATCTTTAGGAATGATTTTAAGGTAACATTCTATAAAAAAAGTGTATCTGAACAGACAAAGTATGTATCAAAACTAGATGGAAGACCATCTAGCCTACGTCTCAGGACATTACAAACACAAGCCATGCACATGTTTTCTGAAACAGACATTGCACATTGTATTCTGGATTTAGACAAACAAACACCCCATTCTTCAAAAAATAAACGATTATTTTGGCATTTCAGAAATAAGAGACAATATTTTCCATCCAAAAATACAAAGGTTGGACACGAGCGGTCACATTCTCAAACCTAAACAATGCATATAAATAAAAACGAACAATAGGCTCTCGATTAAGTTAATAAATCAAATATACACAATGATTAATTAGACAATATGTACAAAGTCATCTATACAACATCAACATCTAAACTGACAGTGAATTTCTTCATATAGACAGTAAATTCTAAGCATGACCTGTCTGCCTGTACACGTTTAAAAAATAAAAATAAAGAGCGTGAAAATAAAATCCAGTCAAAAACCCAATAAATGGGAGTTAAATACAATCTTCGAGCACATGATACACCAGCAATCATTGATTTTTGGAATTAATTCACAAGCTATTTCTGGTGCATTAAGTTCGACGTTATAAAAATTGAACACAATCTGCATATGCAGTTCAGTTCAACAATTGGATGAAACTCACGAAACCCTCAGGAACATTTCCATATCTAATTTCATCCCAAAATCACAAGAAACGAATAAGAATTTATAGGACTATACTGTTGTATGTGTAATTCGAAAATATGTGTAATTCAAGCTATTTTAATTACGTGGTATTTATTGTGCTTCTTGTAATTTATGCTGATTTGCATAAAAATCCTAGTATTACAGTATTTTGTACTGTATAAAAATGCAGTATTTCAATTTTGGAAAAACTGGGAATTACGGGGAAAAAACCCACATGTACAGTAATGAGAATTTGGGTGGATAGAGCGCTTAAAGGGATAGTTCACCCCAAAATTTAAATTGTCATCATTTACTCACCCTCAAGTTGTGCAACTCAACACAACACAAAAGAAGATATTCTGAAGTAACCAAACAGTTGACGGTAGCCACTGACTTCCATATTATTTTTTCTATACTATGGAAGTCAATGGCTACCGTCAACTGTTTGGTTACTTCAGAATATCTTCTTTTGTGTTCAACGGAATAAACTCATACAGGTTTGGAACAACTTAATGGTGGATAAATGACAGAAATTAAATTTGTGGGTGAAATATCCCTTTAATTGTCATTCAAAAAAAAACGTCACAATGTGAACAATGTCTATGAATTCTGGAATAAAATGTGACCTGGACATGTTTTCGTCATATTCACACAATTAGCAGATTTTGGCCAATTACAGTACATTCTAATTCTGGTTTTCTGTTTTAGGCTAAAAGTTCAGCACAGGTTAACATCTTCAAGCCCTACTGACGCCACGCCATAAAAAAAAAACAGACCAGCCCGTGGTCCGACCGCAAGGTCTGAACAAATACTGTCTGGCTTTGTCGTGACAGTCAACAATAAGCGTTCTGATTCCAAAGGATGTCTTCTTTCGCTTGACCTTTTGTGACATCATGTAGCAACGATTGCTACCATGCCGAGCATCGGCTGCTATACGATATACTCCATTTTGTGCAAGCTGTGTTGTGCGTCCAGATCTCTTTGCTGTGAATCCGGAGCTCTGTGCTGTGACTCCAGGTCTCTGTTGTCTCGTTTATTAGTCCAGTGTGGATTTTTTACGTCTGTGCCGTTGGCGCTCAGCCTGTCGTCCCTGTCCACCAGCATGTAGGCCGACTGGCGTGGAAAGCGCGCCTTCTGCAGACGCTTGTTGGAGTCCTCCTGCACTAGTCTGGCGGCTTCGGAGAAACCCGTCCTGATTTTGGCGTTGACGCTGTTCTTGTCGTCGCAGTGGAGCTCTTTTCCTGGCAGGCTGCCGTTGGACGCGTTCTTCTCGATGTGGTTCTTGATGTGGTTGAGCTGCTCGCGGGCGTTGTTCACTGTGTTGTCTTCTGCGTTTCCCGTGGAGTAGGGGGTGGCGGGGTTGATGGCGGTGGGGCTGGAGCTTTGTTTGCGTCGATGGCGCACGCACCACAGGAACACCCACGCCAACGCCAAAACCCAGATCGCCGTCACTATGGAAACCAGCAGTGGCACCAAGTAGTCTACTAAACGAAAAAAACAATGAAAACTGATTAATAAAACCAAATGTGCAAAATATTAGATACCAGCATTGTGCAAAAGCATCTATCATTTTATTATATTTGATATATGTTATTAAATTGATTAGTGTGGTGTATTAGCTAAATAGCTCAAATTAAATGGAAAAAAAAAATCTTAATATTTTTCAGAGAAACGGTAAAATTGTGAAATATTATTACAATTTAAATTACTGGTTTCATATTTGAATCTATTTTAAAATGTAATTTATTTCTGTGATCAAAGCTGAATTTTCAGCATCATTACTCCAGTCTTCAGTGTCACATGATCCTTCAGAAATCATTCTAATATGCTGATTTGCTGCTCAACAAACATTTCTTCTTATTATCAATGTTAAAAACAGTTGTGCTGCTTAACATGTATGCAGAAATCATTATTCAGAATTCTTTGATGAATAGAAAGTTCAGAACAGCATTTATTTGAAATAGAAATCTTTTGTAACATTATAAATGTCTTTATTTTCACTTTTGATCAATTTAATGCATCCCTGCTGAATACAAGTATTAATTTCTTTAATGAAAAGAAACCCCTCACTAACTCCAAACTTCTGATTGATAGTGTATATCTCAATATTTATGCATTTGCTCTGAAATTGCATAAAATGGTACTTTATTTCCAATCAGAGCATCCATCATTTTGACCTACGGCTACTTCCTCCAATGTGTAAGTGCTTCCTGTGGTGTCTCACCGTTGGGGTTCTGTGGCTGTCTGCGCTGCACACGGACCTCAGCGATGGAGCCGATGATGGAGCTGTTCGCGCTGTGTTTGCTCACCAGATCGATGATGCTCTCTGTGATCTCTTTAACAGGAACCCGGCCGAGAATGACATCCTCAGTCACATGCTACAAAACACAATATTTCCTTTAAAATGCGATGCAAAATGCAAAAATAATCCTGACTTAAATAGTTTTCTATAGTTTCTTTTTACGACTGAAGCTGCTGTTATTAAATTAAAGCAAACAAAATGCATGGGGTGTTAAAATAATAACAATAAATATAATACAACAACATAATGTATAATAAAATAATATAATAAAAAACATGCACATTATTTCCTTTGAAATGCATCTTAAAAAATGATTAAGACATAAATATTTTTTTACAACTAAAGCTTGTAAGCTATTATTAAATTAAAGCAGAATTAAATGCATAGTGTTAAAAATTAAAATAATAAAACACAAATAAACAAAATATAATATATAATGTAAATTAAAAAATAATAATATAATAAACAAAAATAATAAAAATAAAACATGCTAGAAAAAGTATTCAGGTGTAACCTTTTTTTTTTTTTTTTTTTTTACAGCTGAAGCTTGTAAGCTATTACTAAATTAAAGCAAAATTGCAACTGCCTAGTGTTAAAAATGAAAATAATACAAAATTATAGTAAAATACAAATAAATAAAATACGTAATGTAAATAAAAAATAATAATATAAACGAAAATAATACAAATATATTATTTATACACAAATAAATAAAATACATAATGTAAATAAAAAGTCATAATATAAACAAAAATAATACAAATATATTATTTATACACAAATAAATAAAATACATAATGTAAATATAAAATAATAATATAAACAAAAATATTATTTATACACAAATAAATAAAATACATAATGTAAATAAAAAGTCATAATATAAACAAAAATAATACAAATATATTATTTATACACAAATAAATTAAATACATAATGCAAATAAAAAATAATAATATAAACAAAAATAATACAAATATATTATTTATACACAGTCGTTTATACATAGTCGTTCTTTAATGCAATAAGGATATTAAAACTGCACTCACAAAAAGCTATTTCTAGCCAATGAAATACTGCATGAATGTGACTTACGATGGCCACATGGATCTCATTATTGGTGGCAGAAGAGAGTTCACAGCTCATAGAGATGGAAAACTCAGCCGAAACATTCTTCGCCACATACAGATGCCTCAGCTCACGACACACCTGCTCCACCGTCACTCCCTTAGAGCAACACATCAGAAAACATTTTAAAATGTGTGCATTAATCCAATACATGCAACCTAATCACCCAACCCCACCACCACGCTTTAAATATCAGTCCCAGTGGCCTCACCTGTGGCATGGTGTCCTTGTTGAAGGTGAAGGTGACGTTGGTGCAGTCACTCTCGGGGTGACAGCGAGCCCTCACGGCCGGCCGGTGAGCAGACCAGCACTCGCCCTGTGATGAGCAGGGCTTCACGAAACACTGCTCGTCTCGCACCGGCACACACAGCTGACCCAGAGGACAGTCGCCTCGTCCTGAACCAAGCATCCGGCAAGGTTTAGGGCCACACCACAGCTGTGGAAGAGAGGAAGGAAGCGAATTCAGAAACGATAATGCATCACTATTAACTTCTGTCCTCGATTTAACAACAGCTACAACACACAGGCTTTCTCTGACATACCTTAGTGCAGCTGACAATCCCCCTGTGACAGTAACAGGTGTTACAGTCTTCAGCCCACTTTGCTCCATCTACTGCAATCCCACCTCCGACCACACACAGACGTCCGGTGACTGAGAGAAAAAACTAGGCATTTAAAAAAAAAATCATGCTACATTTACACTTTTTATTCTTTAATTAGGGCCACTTTTGACTATTTTACATCTTGAAAAATTTAACTGAATTATGGTTATGGTTCAGTTATGTTAAAACTTTTATCACTTGTCCTTTCAATTTGTGATGGTAATGATGTTTGCCATGTGTTTGAGAAAAAAAAAACATAGATCTTCCTAATTACATTAAGTTAGCTAGTGCGTGGAAGCTGTTAATTAAGAAAAATACAAAGAAATAGATTACAGAATTAAAATTAGTAAATGTATCATGTAGTACATTTCAAATTACCAAAATTATTTAAAATACTGAATTATTTAAAAATAATTAAAAACCAAAGCCAAACCTACTCTGAGGTCATGATTAAAAATATATATATACACAATAGTTAAAGTAAAAAATGTAAAGGCTATTATAATACATCCTTTAAATCTAGAAGAAAGATTTAAAAAATAATAATAAATTACACCATAATATTAACACAATAGATAAAATCATAAGTTTAAAAGCTACTACAATAGATCCTTTAAATCTAGAAAAAAAAGATTAAAATAAATAAATAACACCATAATATTAACACAATAGAGACAATCAAAAGTTTAAAGGCTACTATAATATATCCTTTAAATCTAGCATGAGAAAAAATGTAAATAAAATACTAAGGGTTTTAGTAGCAACACCTAACAAACCTAGTCTGAGATCATGATTAAAAAAATTATAAATTACAAAATAATATTAACACAATAGATATTATATTAGCTAAAATAAATATTAGAATAGAGCAGTGGTGTCAAACTCAGTTCCTGGAGGGCCGCAGCCCTGCATCTCATTTATTTCAAATTGATGACAAACACAGAAAGCTTTTTAACTGGTAATGCAAAAAATAAAAACAAGCTTACAAGCTTTTATATACATAAGTATATATATATATATATATATATATATTATTTATTTATTTATTATTATTTTTTTTAATATACATTTGTATGAAAATATTAATTTAATTAAAATATAAATTTTATGAATTAATGCTTTACATATTTTGTATTGTCCACCCACAGAGATTGATTCATTAACAGACTATATTAGTTTTTTCTGGCTAAATGTATTGCAATTCTTAATTAACAATATACAAAATATGTATAAACGAAATTATAGTCGATGCTTACAATAAAAATTTAATTATGATCAATACCAGTTAGCCTCCGCCATGATTCTTTCATTAAAATTGAATTAAGTTCATGACTTAAACAGCACCATAAAATAAAAATAAACAATTTCTTTATGTATGCGCATCTCATAAATGTGATCATCCCCTCATGACTTGAAGGCAGCAACATAATTTATTGATTTGAAATTAATCTTACTATTCACGTGAAGCTTAATTAGCACAGTATTTCATACAATGAAATGGTTTAGTAAAAATACATAAGGTAAATATAGCTGATTATCACTATGTATTATTTGTTATATGATTACATTGTTAGATAAATGAAAAAGATCTTCCTTTAATTACACAGTATGCTTAAAAAATTAAATTAATTTAATTGCATTTTGAAAGCAACAGCAAAATGACTGACTTAAAATGAAGCTCACCATGGTTGTGGGTTGCAATCATTGGAATCTGTAAATGAAGCATCAAACATTTTGTTATTAACGGTATTCGAACACAGAAACAATCATCTGAAGATTATTGTAATGTTGGAGTGAAAGCAGCATGTTCACGTGCACGACTGTCTATAATCCACGATGCAACATCAACCAGTAGATCAGTCATGTTTGCTAATAAAGTTATGTTTGCTAATAATCTGTGAACTATTCATGCCATTTTCTGTGTTCATTTAGAAAAACCTGGAGTTCTGCATCTGAAGGTAAAGATGACGTGTGTAAATCTTTCAGTGTTAAAATACTTTCTTCTATCCCAGTGTAATATTCAAAGACAACTATAATGATGACGCTCGTGGTGTAGAAATGACACACTTCAGCGTTAAGGAGCTATCCAATTAGTATATAGTTTGAAAGAGAACCTTAAGCAGCAGTAGGTGAGAGTTGGAAACAGGAGTCAAGACAGGAAGTAGTAAGGAAGTGGAACAGGAAGTTTTGCCGTACTCTGGCTGCAGGTGAGCCCCTCCCAGCCTTCTTTGCAGACACAGGTGAAGCTGTCACCTGTCACGACACACGTGGCTCCGTTCTCGCAGGGGTTCGGCAGGCAGCTGCTGTTCTTTGCTGTGGAGTGAAGGGGAAAAGCTTTAAAACGGATTCAGAGGCTAGTTCACCAAAATGGTCAGTCAGGTTGGTAGCGGCTCACCTATGTTACAGGTAGCTCCTTCCCATCCAGGAGCACACATGCACTTAAATGAGTCGCCTTCGTCAGAACACGTGCCCCCGTTGTTACAAGTAGCCTCGTCACATTGGCTTTCGCCTATAAACGAGAAGAAATCAAGTGTCAGACAAACGGACTATATTCAAATCATTTACTTGATACTTGAACGATTTATTAGACTAATTCTGCGATCCTTTCATTGTCTCGTGACTTGCAAGATAATAGCGTTTGATTTAAACTAGTCAGAAAGTCAGATTAGTTTCCGTGAATCAGTCCAAATTGTCCGTTTAAATGAACTGATTCAAAACTCTGATTCAATGATTCATTTGTATCATCACTCAAAAATGCTCAGGGACATTTTTCCATGCTATTTCATGCATTAAAATGGTTTCGTAAAAATATATGTAGATAAATATGGCTGTTTATCACTATGTACTGATATTATATTTTCATGTAAATTAAAAATATTACATATCATTCTTAAAGATTTAATTCAATTGAAATATTCTTATTTGTGAAAAAAAAACATGCTAGATTTTTAATGTATTTAGTTCTTACGTTAAACATATTGGATCTACTTGACAACAGCTGTTTTGTTGACAAAATCCCTCTTTTTATTATTATTTTTTTTTACATATATAGTTCTGTTGATTACATCAAAATAATAATGAATATTTTCATTAATTCTTACTTGTTTAACAGTAAAATAACAACAGCAATGTTAAATAATAATAATAATTATTATTATTATTATTAATTCTTGCTTGCTATACAGTAATAATTACCATGAGTATTAATATTATTAATTAATAATCATTATTAATATAATTTAATAAGTATTTCGTTATTTAGTCTTGTTTAAAGCAAACATATCTAAATCTTAAAACAAGATGAATTCATTTCAAAGACAAAAAGGCATCTGAACAATGACTTTCCAGTCGATTTAAAATATTTTAACTGAGCATAACTAGAAAAAATTTATTGAGAAAAGAATGTTATTTTCATAAAACGACACTAGGGTTTTCAAGATTGTATGAATTAACACGATTTTATAAATCATCTAGCCAAAATGCGCTGATATGCAAATGAGGAGGCGGGGCTTACGTGAGTGACAAGTCTTTCCCTTCCAGCCGTTTTCACACTCGCAGTAAAAGTCATTGACCAGATCACGACACACTCCTCTGTCCCGACAGGGGTTCATGCTGCAGTCGTCAATGTCTGTTTTGGAAACAAACAATGTTTTACAGCTAAATATAATTAGAGACATTTATGAAATCATTTTCATTTCCACTTGAAGTGACTTTTAAGGCTGAAATGTACTCACTGCTCTCACAGTTGTGTCCCTCCCACCCATCAGCACAGATACACTGGTACGCATTGATTTTATCAATGCAAGTACCACCGTTACGACAGGGACTACTTTCACAGTCATTGATGTCTGAGAGTAAAGAGTGAGAGGTAAAACGTTAAAAAGTCTGTGAGCGAATGTGTTAAATCTAATAACAGCAAAGAACCCTGGGATACGAATCTGGCTTACTCTCATGGCAGTATGTGCCGGTGAATCCTTCCTGACACTCGCAGCTGAAGTGCCCTCCGGCGTGACTTCGACAGCGGCCGTGAGGACCACAAACGTTAGAGGAGATGAGCCGCATGCCGCCCGGAGTGCTGTTAGACGCCACGGCAACCGTGCAGCTGTCAATCACTGGGGAACAAAATGAGGACTGAGTCATTAAGAGTCCTTTTGATCAAAATCCTTAATCTAGACTATAGGTCAAACTCATGTCCACCAACTGGGAGCCATTTAGACCAGCTAGAGACCACAAAGAAGCTGGTTTAGAAGCTAGCTAGATTTCCCAGCTGAGAATCTCTCCACAGCATTAATAGTAATAATAATGCTGTTATTATTAGTATAATATAATTAATATTATTAATGTTGACAATAATTACATTTGATATTATAATCTGATTAAGATCAGATTTAATAAATATAACTATTGTCAACATTAATAATAATTATTGTTTTAATAAGTATTAATAATTTATTAAATAATTAATTTAATAAGTATTTTAATATTTTCTTAATTCTTGTTTAAAGAATGATAATTCTTGCAGTAAATAATAATAACATTTTACCGTAAAACAAGATATTATTATTGTTATTATTTCTTGCTATACAGTAAAAAATGTTCTATTATATATTAATAATCATTAATTGTAAAGTTTCATAATTAACAATATGTATTTTTTTATTTAGTCTTGCTTTAGAGAAAAAATATCTAAAACGAGGTAAATTTATTTGAAAAGCAAAAAGTCGTCTGAACAATGACTTTCCATTGTTTTTAAAGCCATTTGTGCCATTTGAATGATTTAACTAGAAAAAAAATTCACCATAGAAGTTTCTATGAAAAGTCGTTGGACTTTAAGATTATGAATTAACATGACTTTTACAGGCCTGAAAAATTAAATGTGAAAATATTTCCAGGGTTTCCATCCAAATATCTCCTTCACACTGACAGCTATGATGAAAGCAGACAGCGGCATGCTAAGAATTAGCCAAGTCGTCATGATTAACGGTGGGTTTTCCCCTCTCGGTATAAGCTCACTTCGGGTTAGCATATGCATCGTGTAACGATATCTTAGCTGTTACCATGGTGCACCAGCCCGGGAGACCAATAGACTAGAGTTAGCAATCACTAACGCTACGGCGTACACAATGGCACGGCATCAAACGCACCGAGGCCTTGAGATGAGGATAGTCTTACGCCCGCGCTGACTAAAAAAGACTCAACTTCTATTTCGAGTACCCATTAAAACCTCAGAATGTGCCCAAGCAGATAATCTTACCACCCGCACATGAGGCTGGAGATCTGGAGTCTGAGAGCGCCGATTAGCACTCAATAAAGCTGGAGATTTCAGGACTCCTCCAGTATTCACTCTAGGGCTAACATGGGTTTCCAACGGATATCTTTCATTGACAGTAAACCAACTACCTCAACATGTAGAGTGCAACAAAGAAGTAAAAACATTACATTTATTTTCTCTAAAAATAAAATAATTTTAATATTATTCATTAAAAAATAAATTTTATATATATATATATATATATACTGGATCCTCGGGGTAACCTACCTTGACATGGTGTGATGAGGCAGTGGTCTTTAAGTTGGGAGCAGTTTTTGCCTTCGTAATCTTCGGGACATTTACAGTAGTAATCTGAGGCCAAGCTAAAGAATCTTCTGGACATTTACAGTAGTAATCTGAGGCCAAGCTAAAGCACTGTGCTCCGTTCTGACACGGGCCGCTCTCACAGTAGTCTATGTCCAGCTGAAGACAAAATCACACCGACAGCACAGACTCTTATACCTGCTCACAAAGTTATTTAGGCACGTTTACAAGAAATCATTAAAGACTACATAAAAAAAATCAGCAGAAACGGTTAAGACATAAAAGGTTTTGGAGCTCACCTGACACGTGACACCTGAGAAAGCAGGTGGACACAAACACTGGAATGCATTGAGCGCGTCCTGGCAGCGTCCGCCGTTGAGACAGGGTCGACTGGCGCACTCGTCCACGTCTCGCTCACAATGTTCACCTGCAAAGCCTGCTGCGCACACACATCGATATCCAGCGACCAGATCCTGACAGACAGACAGACAGACAGAGGGAGAGACACATTAGGACAGGACAGCAAAACACTATATTCACAGAACAATTAGTATGAAATAATAATACCATTATTATTATTATCAATTGAATACATTGTAAAATAAAAAGTTGTATTATTATTATTATCAAGATAATAAATAATAATTATTGCAAACATTAATAGTAATAGTAATAATAACAAGTGCTATTATTATTATTAATAATACTATGATATTGACAATAATGATTAATCATTATTTAATCATTATTTAATCATTATTATTGTAAACATTAATAGTAATAGTAATAATAACAAGTGCTATTATTATTATTAATAATACTATGATATTGACAATAATGATTAATCATTATTTAATAATTATCTGCATTTAAATGTATAATTATATTTTTCTTTTAATTACTTAAATTTGAATAATTATTTATTTTCTTAATTCTTATTTGTTATACATAATAGTAATAATAATGTATTGTAAAATAAAAAGTTATTATTATTATTTTATACTGAGTAAGATAATAAATAAAAATGATTGTAAACATTAACAATAATAGTAATAATAATAACAACAAAACAATTATTAGTATTGTTATTTATAATACTATGGTGTTGACAATTATTAATCATCTATATATTTAATAATTATTAATATTTTTCTTTTATAATTATATTTTCCTTTTATTTATATTTTATAATTGAATAATCATTACTTGTTATACAGCACAATAATAATAAAAATTTATTATTTTTACTTGCTATACTTTAAAATAATTAAGTGTATTAATATTATTAATTAAATATCATTAATAATATAATTTAATAACTATTAATTACTTAAGTAGTATCATTCAGTAAGTATCATTTTCGAGCAAAAATGTCCAAACACCTACAAAATAAATCTACCTGAGAAGCAAAACTGTGTATGATACAACATACTTTCATAGATTAAATCTTTTTTATTTTCCTTTTAATTTTATTTTCTAGGTCCACTGACAAATAGTTTTTTCTTTTAACAAAATTTTGTGAGGTTTATGCAAAGACAGTATCACCCATCCCTATAGTGAGGATATTTTACTTTCTTGCAGTACAAGGGACTAATATCCTAAAGTCCAATTACAACATGTTTCATTTGATCAAATCAAGCACGGGATTGTCAGGACTGATTAGGACTTTACTCGCTGTGTTTTGAGAGCTAACTGGCTCAGACAATGTCCTAATGTATTCCAGCTGTACACGAATCAGCCTGGACTACAGCGCTGAACCAGAGTGAGCAAAGTATACCAAGAGAGTGGAAAAAACAATGAATAGGAGACAAGAATGTTTATGGTAATCCGATCGTTTTACAAACTCACTCTGTCTTTATGTTCACTCTCCAAAACATGACTCAGCTTCTGCTATTTTTAAACAGAAATGGACGGAGGTGATAGAAACGGAGAAAGTGGTTCTGGGGGGCTTTTTCACATCTGCCAAAAGTGATGGAAAACATTTGAGGCCTTACCTTACACAGTCCTCCGTTAAGACACTGTCCATGGCAGTCGTTGACATCTGTCAAAATATCAGTTCATATTTCAGAAATCACGCCAAGAAAGCACACTTATTTGCATTTTCTGCATTTTAGGGAGAAAATCTTGAGTTTAAACAAGGTGAAACATGTTAAACAGAGAGGGCTGAGAATACTAGACTCTTTTAGCAGCTGAAAGCTAATAAAATTAACCAAAATATTGAATAAACTAACACACAAGTGGCAATGCATCAGATACTCTGATATTCTGGTATCTAAATATTGCTCAGGTCCCTCGTTTAGTGTGAGTCTACGGGAGTTGTTTCGCTAATTTATCATCAACCAGACAAAAATGAAACATCTGGTCAATAAAAAAAACCTCTTCTCAATGATTCTAGGTATCATTCATGCCCTTTCTACAAATGATAAGAGCTTTGCTCAAATGTCATCCTGGGATTTTTAAGAAAACTATTCGATGACATTTTATGGAACTGATTCATTTCAGTGAACCTACTGTGTTTTGCCACACTAAACCACTAGTTGTTGGAAAAATAGGAAATAAATAATGGACAACTACTGTTATGCTTCTAAATTCACAAATTAGTTTGTTAAAAAAAAAGTAATATTTAAAAAGTAAAAGTAATATAAATGTGATGTTTAGTATAATTTATATACTATTGTAGTATTTATTAATATTTTGAATGAGCTTTTTATGTTTTTTTATTTTATTTATTTATTTCTATTTAGTGATAGAATAATAATTTATTTTCATTTTTCTTTTTTTTTCATTTTAGTATTTGAACTTTTTTATTTTAGTTAGTTGCCAATTTTATTTTAATAGTTTTATTTAACAATAACAACACTTAAAAAATTAATTAATTACTAGCTACTAATTACATCTCCAAGAGTGTAATTAGTAACTTTACTATTACACTCTCTAAAGTATGGCATTACTTCTTACAAATCACCTTCTAAATCCTGTATAAACCTCGACCGGCTGAATAATACAAAGATAGACATGAAAATGCTCTTTATTTTAAAAAAAATATATATATATATATATAAATTTGCATAAATAATTCTTGAACTTACCAAAGTATTTAAAGGGAGAGGGTTACATTAAAAACATACATTTTAGCATTAAATGTCACATTTTAATGTTAAATCCACTATTTTTATATAGAATTGTTCTACAGTCTATACAGTATTTAATTCAATTACATCAGAAGTAACTGTAATTAGATTACAGAAGAGTAACCCTTACTTTACTTTTTCAAAGGAAAATTAAGTTACAGTAATTAATTACTTAGTAATGCATTCACCCAACACTGATCACTACTTAATTACTCCCCGAAACTGCTATATGATATGAAAACATATTGATATGAGTTTTATTTGGATACGTGAACTTCATTTAGAGCTCCTAAGAATTCAATCTCTGACTGCTTTCATTTGAAACCGTGACATACTTACTGATGTCGCAATTCTGGCCCGTCCAACCAGGGAGGCACTCGCAAAAGTATCCGCCAATCAGATTCCGGCAGGAGTGGGCATTGACGCACGGGCTTTCCTCGCACTCATTAGCATCTGAGCCAAAAATGACAAAAGAAATCAGCACGAGCGCAGTCTAAATTACAATCAGACTGATAGGCATGCAGCCAAACGTCCCTGAGGAATTTGTGCGTGTGTGTTAATGGACTGTAAATGCGCTCTCTGAATCTCTATGAATCAGCGGCGGGGGTCTCATGGTGGGCTGGTACTTAAATTCTTCCAAGGCTGATTCGGTTACCATGGTAAATTGAATTTTAGAACAAACACACCCTGACTCAAAGAAAGAGAGGGAGCAGAAGCACACACACACACCAATGAGACAGGTCTTGCCGGTCCACTGCGCAGGGCAGACGCATTTAAAACCGTCCACCAGGTCCACGCACACGCCGCTGTGATTGCACGGGTTCGGACTGCAGTCATCTTCATCTGAGGAAGAGGAGGACACACAGAGGAAATTTGCATCATAGTTTAAGAGACTTCTGAAGTTCAGAGTTTTGTTTCAGTTAAGTATCAAATAAAAGGGAAACAAATGTTTATGTAAGAAAACAGCTATAAAACTTGATTTTCACTTTTGCTGAAGAAACACAAGTGGTCCTTGATTACGCAGAAGTCACTGCAGTGATACTGGCGTATTTTAAATGGTTCAAATGGTGTTGCTGTGCCGTTGCTAAGGTGTTCAGAGTGGTTTTTAATGTATTGGCATGCGCTTGCTTTGTTATTCTGGGTTATAGTAATATATTAGAATGATTTCTGAAGGATCATGTGACACTGAAGACTGGAGTAATGATGCTGAAAATTCAGCTTTGTTATCACCGTAATAAATTACATTTTAAAATCTATTCAAACAGAAAACAGTCATTTCATATGGTAATAACATTTCACAACATTTCTGTTTTAACTGTTTTTTTAATCAAAGAAATGCAGCTATGGTGAGCATAAGAGACTTCTTTCAAAACTATTTAAACATCATATGACAAGAACTGTATAAATAACAACAACAATAATAAACTGTTATCATAATTCTAATTAATTAATTCTAATAATAATAAATTGTTATTATTAATAATGTTGACACTTGTTGTTAATGAGATTTAATACTTAGTATACATTTCTTAATACTAACTCATATTAATATATTTTCTTAATTTATACTCATTTTACAGTGGAATAATAGTGAATATTTTCAACATTATTATTTAATCATTATTAATAAGTATTTTCTTAGTTAATCTTGTTTAAAAGCAAACATTTCTAAACATCCTTAAAACAAGATTCATTTATTTTAAAAGCAACACTGTGCAAGATGTATTTTCATATCATATATCTTGATATTTACTTGTCATCCCCTACTGGCAAAAAGTTTTTTTTTTCTCTTAAGCATAAATCCAACAAAATTTTGAGGTTCATACAAAAACAATATCACCCACCCCTGGTAAGGATATTTTACTTTCTTGTAGATTAAGGTACAAATATCCTGAATTTTTTTATTTTTTTATTTCTATTAGTCGGTTATTCTAATGCACATAAACATACAGATACAGTCTCAGCTATACAATGGAAAACAATAAGAAGCATACAATCAGGTAGAAAAGTGAATACAGTCAGGCTAGAGAATAAATATGCACCATAGAATAGAAGATCAAGAGAGGTTGTTAATGTAGCACCAGAGAGGTGTCCATATCTGCCAAATATCATTCGACTTTTGATGTATATCAAAGGAAAGTGGAAGTAACGTAGATATTTGAGACAACCACATTTTAAAAGAGGGTACTTGAGGAGATGACCACAGTAACAATATACATTTCTTTGCCAGATAAACCAAAATTAGAAACAGTTGTTTGGTGTGGAAGTCAAACACAGTCTCCACTCCACTGTATAACAAATACAGTTCCGGAGAAAAACAAAATTTCAACTTTAAAAGACTTTGTAAAAAATTATGTACTTTAGTCCAAAAAGAAAAGATTTTGTCACAATACCAGAAAGCAGTGAAGGAAATATCCTGAATTTTTAATGTGATGACATGCAATTGCTAGGTTATTCTGGGTGGTTGCTTTCTGGCCCGAGTCAAAGAGTGACATTCTGATTTCTATATATGGCTCAGTTCTTTCCTTCAAAGTCAGTGTGAGGTACGAAAAATCGAAAGGCAGATCTGAGCAGATTGAGACATTGCAGAGATGGCTTACTGATGTTGCAGGACGGCCCGGTCCAGCCCGGCACACACTGACACTCAAAGCCCTGACTGGACTCCACACAACTGCCTCCATTCAGACACGGCTCAGACAGACAGGCGTTATCTGCTGCAGAGAGCCAGAGAGAGAGAGATGTTATAATGTAGTGCTCATACACAATCAAAGCAAAACTGAGACAGAACAGCATTTTCTGAAGGAATGCATAAAATACACAGACATTTTACCCCAAAATAAAACACACGGACCACACATTTGCCAAACAATGACAAACTCCCTTTCTATTCTAGCAGCACTGTATGCCTCCGCTTGTTTCATGTCATCTTATGACTCCACGGTCTCTTCCCACTCACATAACAAAATAATTACAATTCAAATCAAAATTTCATGTCTATTTATTTAACCAGTTAGTTAGTTAATAGCCACTTCATGTCAGGCAGTGTTATTGTTAATGAAAACCATTGATAATAGGTTTTGTTAATTGAAAAATAAAATAAAATAAAATAAAATTTTGCCTTGGCAAGTTAAGCTTACATAAGTACTAAAATTACTCATTGAAAATAAACCTAAAAATAAAAAATATAGAAATATATAATTATTAAAAAAAACTAATAAAAATGACAAAAAAATTTACTGAAACTTTACCTAAATTTAAAACAAAAAAGGAAAATATACAAATAAAAACCAATTCAAAATATTGATAAAAACTGTAATAGTAAATAAATAATACTAAAATAACTATATAAAATAGCCTAAATTAATATATCACCCGCTGACTGTACATAATGACTAAATTTAAAAGTATAACTTTGCTAATCTTTATTTATTCATTTATTTTTAATTTTCTTATTTTATATTTGTTTACTCCATTTATGCGGTTTCCATTTCCCTTTTTTCTTTTTTTTTCTTCTTTTTTTACTTATTTTACAACGCTGTGGAAACACAGATGTACGATTGCAGCAACAAACTGACATTTCACTAGCATCTGCCACAAAAAAATAAATATTAAATAAAATAAAAATCTTTTACAGTTTTCTAATGTAATTATATGAAAGGCCTCGGTGTCTGGAAAGCTTTATTGAAAACTGTGCTTTTCCCCAATTCAGAAATCATGGGACATTCTGTAAAGCTTCTCAGACCGAGCAATGGTAAGCAGGCAGAGTTTAACAAAGGGTCAACTGAATGCGAACCAAGAGAGAGAATAATCAGTATGAGTTTTGTTGCATCAAATCACATTGTCTTTTATTGTTCACAGACAGTCAGGCAGGATCATGTCTTGGTTTTCCCCCTTTCAATCTCCCAGTCCCTCCCTCTCTTCGCTCTATCGCTCTTTATCAGATCAGTCAGTGGATGGGAAAGCCCCTTTGGCCTTTCTCACACCGAACAGAGACCACCAACAAAAACAGACGAGTGAAGCAAGAGGCTGTGAGCTTTTATTTCCAATAAAACATAAGAAAAAGGATCTACGAAAATCGAAGCAAACCAGAACAAAATGAAAACAGAAGAACAAAAAAATATCTCTATTACTCTGTCCTGGAGAGGTGTGTTTGACAGGAGACACATCATGCCAAAACAACCCAACCAACAGATCTATTCCAACACACATATGTGATAGAGCCTGCACACGATGTGATGCATTATTCTGCCCAAATCAAATGAATGCACACTGCATTCTTAGGCTTGGCCAGGACACGGACTGCTTGATTAGTAAGTGTATGTTTGCTTGTGTATCTCTCTGTTCTTGCTGCACATAAAAATCTCCTGTCTAAAGAAAGACAGATGACAGAATCCAGGAGAAATATGGACAAGCAGGATCCAGAATCAACCCTCACCAAGTGCCAAATGTGAGTAAAAATTGGCTTTGGAGAGTAAATAAAATTGAGTTTCTTGCCAGTTGGCCGGTATGAACTGCAACATGATACATGGCTTAATTTGACGACTCGCTGATAAGTAACGTGAGCGAAACATGCAAACCGCGCACTCAAGAAGCATCTGTTGAACAACTTTTTATCCTCTTTGGAAAAATCAAATCAATCAGAATTTTATCCATGATGGTTTTCCTCCAGTACTTCCATTAATGTGGAATATTCCTTTTTTCACTGACATTTTTGATCAAATAAATGCAGCCTTGGTAAGTATAAGAGACTTATTCCAAAAACCTACCAATCCCAACTGTAGTGTAACAGTAGTGTAATAAATATGGAGAAATCATTATGCATCCTCAGGTTTTTGTGATTCATAAAACTCAGAATGAAACTGAACTTATGTCACAAAGTTCAATCAGGAGTCGGCGCCACTCCCATTCCTCCTCCCCCTGCCCATGACATCATTTCCTCTTTTTTACAGTATGTTTACGGTGGACATCAGCCATGTGAGGTGTGTATGTGTGTGACCCACCTCTCTCACAGTTCTGTCCCGAGTAGCCATCAGGACAGGCGCAGTGGTATTTGTCTGGTCCCGTGTTACTGCAGGTGCCGCCATTCAGACAGGGCTGCCATGTGCCACAGGTGTTCAAGTCTAAATAAAACAAAACATTTCAACAACTGACCCAAGCTGAAGAATAGAATAGAATAGAATAGAATACCTTTGTCACAGAGCTGCCCTCCCCAGTTGGTGTCACACAGGCACTGCCAGGGTTCGACGCATGTGCCGTGCACACAACCGGGATGGGGGATACACTGGTCACAGTAATCGCCCTGCCAGCCGTACAGACACCTGTGAAGGGCAGAACATCGCCTCTGAATATACTGAACCACATGCACTTTTTGAAACATGAAATCGCTGACATAATGTGACACTGTTGCAATACCTAGTGAGCTGCCTACCTAGATAGGATACATTAGGCATAATGTGTGCACTCACTCACAATGCAAAGGCTGCTACTGAGGGTACGCGGCAACCTTATGCTGCTTTTTAAGGCACTTCGTTGGGCCAAAATAAATTATTTATTTTGCCGATAAGGCAATCTTATAATGCATTGTACAGTAAACAAATCATACACAAAATGTTGAATATAAACAGTTATATTTTATTAACTACTGAACAATATCAGTAAACATAGTTCAATCTTATAAAAATTCACAATCAAAAGACTATATTATTGAACATTTGTGCATTTTATTACTTATTTCAGTATTATGTCATTAGCTTAACAACACGCTTACATTTAAACTATTCAAAATAAAAGCTTGATGGTTTAACATTTGGAAATGAAAAAGAAATTAAGACAAAAATTGATATTGTATTTTTACAGTTTTACTGTTAAATAAAAATATTATTATTTTCATTATTATTAATAAATAATAGGGTTATGTTTAGGGTTAATAATATATTTAAAAATGTGGCCAAATTTGGCAGCACTACAAAAATGCACAGAAAACCTCTTTAGAAAAAAAGCTCTTTAAAGAAAAAAAAACAATTTTAAACTACAAGTGCAGTTATCAAAAAAAAAATTTTTTTTTAATTAAAATTTTTTAATTTTGCAGCCCTAGTTATGAGATTCTATATGTTGTCACCGTAGTGTTCCAAATCAGTCACTTAATAGTAGGCCAGTGCAGAAACTGGGGTTTCATTTGAGTTTACTTATGAGACTCTAGGATTTTTTTTTGGCATGCTACCTTAGAAGGGAGCTGCCCATTTAGCCAGAAGTCAGCTCACTTGATTTTGGAAAAGAGTCATTAAATCCATTATCCGTATAATAAATGCTATGTGTTACCTGCAATATCCAGGCATTTCACAGGAGCCATGCTCGGTGCTACAGCCCTGCTTACAGATGGCTAAGAAAACAAGACAGAAAGAGGGATATGGTTACTGCTATCAGCTCCATCTGTGTGATCTCAGCAGTTCTCTATCATCACGCCATTCCAGCCGCTCTGAACATCATCGCACCCTCTGCCAATGATGTCATTTCTCCTCCCCTCCACTCGTGTTTCTTCATGCGGGAGTGAATGAGGGAATAAACACTATTACAGAGATTAAATCCACCCTAATACTGTCGCAAACCCACACCGTATCAAACAGTAACACACACTAGCTGGCAGACGGGATGCTGTGTGTGTGTGTGTGTGTTTGAGACAAAGCTTTGTTGTGATAGTGACAATCTCAAATAACATCCCTGTGAGGTCAATGATACAGAGCCAGTATGACTCCAGTCTGACCAAGCCTAAATCTCATTCCCACACATTTTGAACAATGAATTTCCATGATGTTTTCCATTGTTTTGTGATTTTTTTATATTTTATTTTATTGTCAAAAAGAACATTTTGTTGCCGATTAAACATTAAAATTAAATATATTTTTAAAACATTATGAAAAATATATTCATTATAGAAATGTACATGACTTTTTAAAATGTTAATTAATTTTCCATGAGTATTTCAGGTTTTAAATTCCCGATATTATTTATAAGGCTGTATTCAAATAAATGCAGCCTTGGTGAGCACAAGAGACCTTTTCAAAAACATTAAACGAATCTTACCAACCTCAAACTTTGAAACTGTAGTGTGAACACATCAAACTTTAATGTGCCCAATGGAAACAGACCTCAAATATGAAATGTGAAGTATTTTACCTATAGCAATAAATCCATAAATTCATGCACAACAGCACTGTAAATCTGACAAAGGCCCCACCACTTACCAGTGTTGCATTCTGGGCCAGCCCATCCCTCCAAGCAGGTCTTGTTGCCATTGTGATCGCAGGTATAGTGGCCGAAGAAGTCATCTCTGGGCCGACAAAACTTATTGCAGCCGAAGCCGAAGTAGTGCTCGTCGCAGGTCACCCGAATCTGGTACTGGAACTGAGCCACGGGGCCATTGTGTTTCAAGACCTGCCACTGACGGTTTGGGTTGATCATGCCTGACTGGACCGCTTTCTCTATGACTTGTCCATTAATGCCTACAGGAGTGAGACAGAAAGAAATGGACACTTTAGTGGGCAGCTGTGGTTTAAATACGCCTCTGTTCTGCTTGACTGTCAAATTATGCCAGCTTACAAAACCCTGATGCACACACAAAGTCTGATCGCAACAAGCGGATTTGTGTAATGGCTTAAAGGTGAAAGGTTTCTAAAACACAAAAGGAGATATTAGGCTGAATGCCTATTGTATACAACAAAAATACAATTTATACCACCAAAATAGACAAAAAACACTAAAAGTATCACAAATGTTTCCTTACATTAAACATACCCTATATTCCCAGTCTTCTGAAGCCATATGATAGCTTAGCTTGACAAATAGATCTAAATTTAAATCCTTTTTGGAGCTTGATAGCATAAATCACCATTACCTTTTGATGTTTGATGTATAGAGCAGCTCAGACATTCTGCTTAATATCTCATTTTGTGTTTCAAAGGACATGTAAACAAAAAACAATGACAGATTTTTGGGCGAACTGTCCCTTTAAGAGCAGTGTACTATAGACTTTGTTTACTATTGGGCAGAGAAATATTGTAGTAATTTATTCAGTGCCGGCCAGAATCCAGCACAGCGGTGAGATATTTGGCCGAAGGGCTGTAAATTGTGAGACGAGTGTGTGAAGTGTGTGTGGCTCTTGGTTTAAGAGAACTGTCTTGACCCAAACCTGTCCTTCAGAAATACAGGATCCAAAGCCTCCACAATCAACGTATATGACCTCTGAAAGAAAGACAACACACATGAAATCACCAATACACACAATCTCAAAGAATCACTTTAAACTGGATAATCTTCATCTTATATTCATTCACAATGTTTTTGTGTGTTCTTTGAACATTTGTGTTTCAAATTCTGCTGATTTAAGTTATATAGTTGTCTAAAACGGGTGAAGTTTAAAAAGACTTCAAGGTGTAACTATGGGGTGAAAAATTATAAACCAATAAGTAATGCGTTCATCCTATGACTTATCGCCAAAAGGTTTTTACTAATTATAGAGCTAAATGGTTAAGAATATGCAGGAAAGAAAATTAAATAATTCAATATGCAAATAATACAATGACATCATGACTGCTTGTTCAAAACATTCTATCAATGCTAGACTATGTGAAATTTGAAATTTGAATCTTGAATTTTAAAATTTTTGACAGTAAAACAATGTAAAATTAAGCATTTAAAAGTATACTTTAATCTTAAAGTACAACGTTTACAAAAACTATTTATCATTCTGTGAAATATTATTACAATTTAAAATAACAGTTTGAATATGCCAATGATGGCAATGATGAATTTTCAGCAGCCTTTCAGTGTCACATGATTCTTCAGAAATTATTCTAATATGCTGATTTGGTGCTTAAGAAACATGTTGAAAACAATTGTGCTGCTTTATATCTTTGACTAATAGAACAGTCAGTTAATTAATGCAGAACTTTCATTCTTTAGGTTAGGGGTTTAGAACAAACCTTTCCAGAATATTTGAGAAACATTAATACAGCACTGCCTCACAAACACTGTAATGATTGATGACCCTGTGCTTTATCAGGAGACATCACTGAACTACTTTCACTATCTGGCTCTTCATCGACTGAAGATAAGTAACAGGACAGACAGGAGAGTGAAAGAATGTGTGAGAAAAACCCTCGACGAGATGTTAGATGATGTTTGAGGAAAAGGAAAAGCTTGAAACTGACAGAAACAGCTTGAGAAATTATTCTCAGAATACGAGCTGATTCAGAGAACAGACAGCAGAAACATTTACTTCATCGGTGCTCTCTGAGATGACCTCACACACACCAATAATGCCGGCTCTTCCTGCCTCTGCAGTCTGAGGGATCTACGACCCTTTATGAGCTTTAATCCATCCATCCACACACACAAATGAGTGCAGCATGGACTGCAGGCCATTCAGAGTTCAAACTCATGCACAGAAAGGCACAGCAGGGCTACAGGATTCATCTGCAAGTGACACCTCAGTGATTTGAACTAGAGACAGTGTGAGAAAGAACCTCTCAGACAGAACTCATGTCACACTGACGGAGATGTTTGTTTGACCGTATTCAATATTTAGATCTCAATATTTAAAGGGGTCATATGATGTTGCTAAAAAGAACATTATTTTGTGTATTTGGTGTAATGAAATGTGTTTATGCGGTTTAAGGTTAAAAAAACACATTGTTTTCCACATACTATACATTATTGTTTCTCCTCTATGCCCCGCCTTTCTGGAACGCGTCGATTTTTACACTCTGAAATGGCTTACATTTCTTTCAATTAGATGAACCATCATTTCAATGAACTTGTCAGTGTAATCATTAAGATTCAAAATGTTTGATGCAAGAAATCAAGTTATAGAAACTAATCAAGGCTCGTCTTTCACTATTTGAACAGAATTAAGAAGGATATTTGATCATTTTATGTATATGTATGAGTAATTACATGCATACATTTACATTTACCAATATAACAATAAATGCTAACATATTGTTTACAAAACCCTTTAATATATTAAAAATTCCATGCATTGATTCATTGAAACAGACAGTTAGATTCAACTGAATCAAACTTACTAACAAAGCTTTTCCAACACCAGATATTACTGATGTTGCTTCATGTTATACTTCCAATAAAATCACTGCAAATAGGCTATATTTGTGAATATCTATTATATCAGCTAGCCCTAATCAGACCAAGTTAACTTTTTAAAAGTATATGTGCCCAAAAGGGTTTTACAACCCACACTCTTAAAAATAAAGGTTCCAGGGTTTTCAAAGCAATGCTACTGAGAGATCCCTTAAACCAATATATGAATCATAAAACCTAAATGTAACAGAACATCTCCAAAGAGCAACTCAACAATGCTATACAGTGAAAAAAGGTTCTTAACAAGAAGTTTTTAGCTGAATTTATGGAACCATTAAAGATGTTTAAGAGTGAAGCATGAAATATCAACAGTACAATCAAACTCAATCTAGAAGTTCTCTAGTCTCCAAGTTCACTAACAGCAGGACACTGGTTACCAAGACACGGCCTGAAACATCCATACACACACCCTGCATTTTCATCTGACCGCTGCTGATGATGCGAAAACGAACAACAAATAGAGCAGAACACACACACAGTCATGCAAAGACCCCCTGTGTGTCTTTGTAAACCCGCTTTGTTGAACCGGCGTCCAACAATCCAGCATCGCAGGCTGCGCGGAGTTCAATTGCTAGGTAGACTTGTGACGGAAAAGAAAGCATGCAAGATGACAATGTCTAATTAATCTCCATTCAGAGCGGCTGTGAGGCAGGTCTAGACCGCTCTGATCGACGTGGGCAGGGGGTGAGATGTTTGAGCGCGGCTGCCACGGTAACTGGCCCTAATTGGACTATCAGACTGACTTACTTTGACCTCGTACTGACGGCTCGGCCTTAGGAGTTGTGAAAGTAAACATGGGCTTCAGCAAAAACAATTGCACCATTCAGATTCAGAATGGAGAAAATTAGATGGCAAAATCAGATCTGGCTTGGGCGATGCTCTAAAAAAAAGTTGAGGCTGACTGATAAGAGATTTTCAAAGGCTGATGGCAACGTCTAGTGGTCGACCGATACAGTTTTTTGATGGCCGATGCCAATATCTTATAGAGCAGGGTGGCTGATGGCTGATATAAAGCTGATATACCCTATCACACTATTGAATTTGAACAGTTTCTACAATTAAATGTATATTTATTTGGCATAATATTTACTTAAATTAATTACAAATAAATAATTTGACAATTAATCCATTTAAAATAAAATAATTTAAAATAAAAATACATTTTTACAATTTTATTTAAAAAATAAATCTGTAAAATAAGATAGGAACTTCCTGGTTTAATAATCCTAAACTAAAATAATTAGAAATAAATAATTGGAAAATGAATCGATTTGGAAATTTTTCACAAATACAGAAGTTGACAACATGTGGACTAGAGATCAAGATGATGGTCTCTGGTCAATATACCTCAAACGTGATTGTAAAATTGCAAAATAAAAAATATAAATAAAAAAAACACTTGTTTTGCATAACCCTTACTCATATACACCCAAAAAATGTGTATTATTCATTGACAATTTTGGGAGCTAACTAAAGGGGAACTAACACTTCTGTCAATCAGGCATACCTCAGCAAATGGCAATAATTTTAAAATGGCCAAATAACAAACTATATGTTGGTCTGTTGCACACAAAATGTATTCATAGACCAATAAATCAGTTTGGATGAATAACTGAATAATCAACATGAGTCAACCATGTTATATCATTTTTTAATTTTTTTTATTTTGTAGAATAGGTGTTGATTTATTATTTGCTATGATTGTATTGTCATTTTTTATTTCAGCATACAGCATTATGTTGTCATAATATTGTAGCTGTCATAATATTGTATATAAGCACTGGCCATACAAAACCCTCACATATGAATGCATGCTTAGTTTGAATTATAGGATGTGCCTCAAACCCTAGTGGACCAACCTAGACAGGATTAATTTGCCTGCATCATAGGCACATTTTGGACTAGCAGGGCACCTATGATACCCAAAAATGCTGCCTAGGTAGGCAGCTCACTATAGGTTTCATTAAGACAATTAGAGATAGTGAGATAACCCCCTTTAAATGATCAATGGCGGTCTGACTAGATATCTAAGAGCAGTTTCCTGTGGCCATTGTGTGTAAAACAGCCTCTGAATGTCCATCAGTAGGTGCTGGAGATAAACTGAGGTGTTTCACATCGCATTGTCCTGCTATTTTCAGAGGATACTGGCGGATTGTGCCGGCTAGGGTGGAGTAACACAACACCTGTCCAACCTGAGCGTCTTCATACAGGAATGTCATGGCCCAGAGCACGAGAACGGGACAGAACCGGCGTTCACAAACAAGCTTCATGGAAAATGGTATGTTGGTGAGACCGGGGCAAGTTGTCACAAGTTTATGATCTGCTTTTGGGGACATGTTGTCACAAACACTGTACATTTTTCATGGCCAATAACAGTGGCTGTTTTGAACAAGTAGTCACAAACTGACTTTCGCAAATAAACCCACCGTGGGAAATATTTACTGTGGTAAAGTGTTTGACAACTAGCCCCGGTCTCCCGTAATCCTATGTTTAGCGGATTTGTTTAATCAGATTACGATTTCCCAACGGCTTTGCTAACAAAACAGCCTTTTCAACTCACCGGCCACGCGAAGCTGAAGGGCAGCACGATCCTGGATTTATCGTTCGCGTTGTCGAGGGGCTTGACAGAAAAAGTATTCCCACCGATAACGGGAGTAGATCCGCTTCCGTAGCTGCACGGGCCTCCCGAAGACACCCGCGACTGATACTCCTTCAAACACACGCGGAAAAACGTGTCGCACTCGTCCGCCGTGCATGAGCGGTCCGCCGCGTCGCGGGCACCGTCACCGTCACAGCACGCGCCGCTCTGCAGCTCCCCGTTCAAGTTCTGCATGGACAAAACCTGCATCTCAAAATGCCCCGATGCCTCACATACCTGGAATATTAAAAACACGGGGGGAAATAATATTAGAGTACAGTATTTGTCACATGGGACATATATCTTTATCATCTCTCTATCTATTTATATGAATTTATGTGCTAAATTATTGTCCAGAAATGTTCTGTTGATCGCAGTTGTGTGCATAAAGAATTAAAATCTGTCAAAAGGTTTTTAAAAGCCATTTTAACTCAAAAGTTGAGAAAAAGAGAAATACATTTTTTTTTTTTTTAAACACATAAGACCCACATGACATCAGGTTACCTGAGTTCCAATCTATTCCTATGTACATGTTCAGATAGCATCACATAAACAGTAATGTCACAAAAGGCAACCCGCACGTACCCGCATCCACAGGCACCGCAAAAGCACATGAACGGACAGCACCGCAAAACTTGGACTCCGTCTCCGAATCATGCCTCCTCTGTCTGTCTGTCTGTCTGTTGGGACCGTTCGCTGTGAAACTAGAACTTCAGCCGACACACGGCTCTCATATAGTGCCTCATGCACGAGGACAGAGCCGCTCAGATCAAACAGAGGACAGATTCCCTGATGGCTCTATTATCCGCAACTCTATTCTTGTATTGTCCTTCTGTTTTTACAACAATGCCCACGGGTTGGAGAGGAAAAGCTGCGAATGCGGCCAGGCGAGCGCTCCATCTATACAGCCCGTTCACGGAGGAGGGGCGGGGCCGACACTTGCGATGATTACATATTCATGACTGGGCGGGGCCATGGGTGGAAATAACATCTACCTTGTTTTCTAAAGCAATTTTTTTTGCCCTAATTATTTGAAGGATTTTTTAAAATCACTTAAATATGAAATAAATATTAAAGGGTGTCAGGTTTCAATTATAAAATAAAATAAAAATAAAATGGATTGTAAATTTTTAGATGTTAAAGTGTACCATATAATAATAAATATATAATAAAATCAATTAAACATTAAATAAAATGTGTTTATGTATTAAATAAACAGTTTTATATGTACAAGACTACCATATAATAATAAATATATAATACATAATAAAATCAGTTAAATATTGAATAAATAATAAAGGGTATCATAATTCAATTCTAAAATGAAATCAAATCAGATAAGTTAAAATAAGATAATAAATAATAATTGTAAATGTTAAATAAATACATTTATATGTACAAGACTACAATATAATAATAAATATATAATAAATTCAGAATATTAAATATTAAATAAATAATAATGAGTATCAGGATTCAATTATAAAATAAAATAAAATGTAAAATAAATAATTATATATGTGCAAGACTACCATATAATAATAAATATATAATAAAGCCAGTTAAATAAAAACAATAAAGGGTATCAGAATTCAATTATAAAATAAAATAAATGAAATGAAATGTGATATTGTATATTTTATATGTACGAAACTACCATATATAAATACATTTATAATAAAACAAACTAAATTATATTGAAAAGACTGAACCTTAGTCAGGTGGATGCCATTTACTCTGAATTTGCTATGTCACAGTTTTTACAACCATGTTTTTTTTTGTCCACTGGAAATACATTTTTAATGTTTCATTGTCTTAACAATCGACACCAAGTCACAGCAGGACGATCCATTGTACGGACTGTACATCCGTCCTTTATAGTGTCATGTTCATTCATGTAAAATTAAAAGTGGTGTCTATCCTGTCTAGGTCTGTACATCTCAGAGAGCACACACACGATCTCTGTCAGTTTTTTACCCATGAGCCTGCATAGACGTAATCATAGACGAATCGCATTAGGCATCTCTCTCTGACCTTCTTTCCTGGTGTCTCTGCCTTATTGCATTTTCACTACTTCACTAGATTGCATTCTAATGAGGTTTATTTGCTACACGTTTCGGCACAAGTTGCCGTTGTGACAGTCCTGTTAATATGCATATATTATTCATGAGCAAGAATCCTGAATATCACAACACAGGACCCCTGCTAGTTCTCCATTGTTTTGGGCACAGGAACAGCCTCAGTCTTTTCATGCCTGTAATGGCAGCTGGTCGGAGACGGCTCTTTCTTGGAACAACAAACTGCTCTTTTCAAAGCTAAACGTGAAGCGGTTAATCATCTCCCAGTCCGTGTTAGAGGAGTCCCAAAAGAAAAGAACATGACAGGAATGAGGGGGATGGAGAAGAAAGGGCGATCAGAAGGGGCATCTCCTGTGAAACAGAGATGGAGGAAGGAGGGGCTGATAAAGGTGGGGGTCTTTATTTTTAAATTAGAACAGCTGGGTCTCAGTCTCCTTAAAGAGCTGTCATGAATAGATTATGGCACAGGCCGAAACAGAAGCTGCCCACCCCTCTCTTTAGGACACGCCCCCTCAGCCATTGCTGGATGGAATGAACTGCATTACTTTGACAAGAGAGCAGGTAGTAAATTACACACGTGTAAAAAAAATAAATAAAAAAACCCCCATCTTATGAACAAATAAACACTGTTTGAAAATTATGAAAGACGTCTCTTATGTTCACACCAAGGCTGCATCTATTTGATTGAAGTTATATTATGATTTTTTGTTTCTTCAATTTAAAATAAATATTTTCTATCAGAATAAATTTTAAAATGTAATTTATTCCTGTGATGCAAAGCTGAATTTTCAGCATCATTACGCCAGTCTTCAGTGTCACATGATCCTTCAGAAATCATTCTAATATGCTGCTTTGCTGCTCAGTCTTGGTGACTCGGTGGCAGTTGAAAACATTTGTGCTGCTTTATATTTTTCTGAAAATCTTTAAAAAATATATTTAGATTCTTTGATGAATAGGAAGTTGAAAGAACAACATTTATTATATAGAATAGAAATCTTTTGTAACATTATAAATGTATTTATGTCACGTCTGTTCAATTGAATGCATCCTTGCTAAATAAAAGTATTAATTTCTTTCTCTTTAAAAGTAATTCATTTAAACTTTTGAACGGTAGTGTTCACAACTAATCAATTATTTATGATCTCTTTAGTATAGTATTTAACTTATCGTTTTGCTGTTCTGTACATTTAACAGGACTGGAATTAGTTATCATAATTTTTTTTTTTTACATTTTAATGTCAACATAAATTCAAAATGGACCCTACTTACTGATGTTATTGTGCACAATTCATCCATGCATGCTATTCCAATTTGAAATTATTTATATTATTTAATTATTTATCAATTGGTGAATTAATGAATTAATGAAATCTAACTTTAATTTAAAATAAAAAAAGATTTTATTTCCATATATTTTATTTCCATATCTTCCACATCTTCCATATCCCTTTGTGCTCAAGAAACAACTGAGGTGTGACACTGCAGTGTGTTGACGCTGACAAAGCTATTCAAATAAATCTAGGACTCTATCAAGCATTTTATCAAGGATTCTCAGACCCTCCCAATTCCTCGGAACTCATAAACACCTGCAGTGACATCATAGCAGCTCAACCACACTTTACCAAAACTGATTTTAGCATCCCAGTAGGCCTGTAGCCACAGGCAGCAATACGCTGTCAAGCAGCCAGTATCTGGCGCTTTCTCCTTATGCTTCACGAGGCATGCAGTTTTACTTTCCTGTATCTCCACACCTTATTTATTCATGCATGACTGATGACAAGGGTTTTCTCACCCTCACCCTCAGTCTGTGATTTTTGTCTATTTGCATGTTTGTTTATTCATTTGTTTACCGTTGACTTTGTTTTTGGAGACTGATCATTCATATCTGGGATGTTTTACAGTAATATCGCGCTTTGTGTTTGTGTGCGTGTGTGTTTGTGTATGAGCTGAAGTTCCCACAGCCTCTCCTCTGCTTTCTTGCTCTGACCTGCATGTCATTTCCCTGCAGGAGCGACGTTGCGAAACATGTCAGTGAGAAAATAACGAACAGTTAATGAGCAACTATTGTTACATATTAGATCTGCAATGCTTCATCTGTCCTTCAGATTACTCACAGACACACAGTGAATGTGCACTGCAAAAATTATTTCCTTAAGAATATTAAGAATAATTTTTTTCAGTAAAATATGTATACAAGTAATACTCATTAAATAGATTAATTGGTAAATTAAATGTACTTTCAGAAATCTAACATTAAATTAAATTAAATTTCTGAAAATATTTTATGATAAATAGGACAAAACCTTATAATGTATAATAAATTAATATATTTATTAAATACATTATTTGATCAATTAAATCTAACATTAATTTAATTTAATTAATTTACTACTGATTAATGTCAACAAACAATCAAATTACAATTACTACTATAGATTAATGTCAACAAGCAATTAAAATAAGGCCATTTCAAATTAAATTTACTACGAAAGATTAATGTCAACAAGCAATCAAAATTAAGCATTAATGAAACTGAATGAAATTAAATGTCAGAAAATACCTTATGCAATATTGGTTTAGTTTAAGAACCAATTAAATTAAATTAAATTAAATTAAATTAAATTAAATTAAATTAAATTAAAATTTTGTGGTGTAGTGTTCCTGGACTTTTACCACTTCAAGTCTTTTTCTTTCAAGTTTCTAACTCCTTTTTTTTCAGGATAAATAATGTGATAATATGGTTTTAGGAGCGGGTTACATGGCAAGTTGTACTGTAAATTACAGTACTTTTTTATATACTGTATATAAATGAACGTGGTTGAGTTTCAGTTCTGAATTAATAAGCTATTTGTATAAGCACCTGTACAATAAGGGCGTCTGGACTGTCCAGCACCTGATGGAAATGACCAGTCTTCCTCGTCTTGGGCCAAAGGAAAATGACTGGCAATGTTTGAGTGCGTGTGGAGGAAAGCTTTGAGTTTGTTTGAAGGGAAAACGTAGCTAATTGCAATTCCTTCTTTGTCTTCTGGAGATGAAATAGACAGAATGACTGTAAATACTTTCAACTAACCCATATGACAAACACATTTCAGATCTCTGTGAGGTTAGCCAGATGTTGTCATTGTCTTCAAAGTGTCTAAAAAGTGTTGCAGTTTCTAAAGTTTTCTATTTATGTCGATAGCACTGAAGTGATGAGTTTGTGTTTCAGGAAATATATGATCACGCATATCTTTATAACAGATAAGCAGATATAAGATAAGAAATGACAAAAACACAGCTTAGAAATATAATGCTGTGCATCTCCAAAGATACCATAGATAAGAAAACAAAAGACATTTGACAACAACACAAAAAGGTTCCTGTATGACATAAAGTATAATAAAAGATTACAATTATGGACACAGGTCAAAGCTCACACGTTTGGCAAAACTTTGAAAACAAGACCTTCATTTCAGCGGCACATTCAACACACATTTGCATCACTTTCTAATTGACTTCTACATATAATTAACCTACCATGGATTCATGTCAACAAGCCATGCATTTTTTGGTCGAATCATACGATTCATCATTATTTAATTGCTCCACCTCTAAAACAATCGTTCATTTTGACCGCTGTCACAAATCCAATACTTTTTCACCTCCCCCCTCTGACCACCTGACTTCATTCTGGAATGTACCGTCCACCTTTCAAAAATTCCTGATGGATAAATCAAATTCCACCCAGATTACAGAAGTGAATGAGGACATTAAATAGTGTCTTCATGATCCATTTGTCCTTATGAGCACAACTTGTAAATTTCACGCTAATGTTATCACAGATGAAG